AGAAAAAATATACGGCACACAGGAAAAATCTAGTTTCCAGTAGTGAATTTGAGGTTCTTTGGTTAAATTTCTGCACTAGTGGAGTAATGGCGTGCATTGTGTAACTTGTGCTGTGCATGCTTGAGATAGTTTTTGGTTGGCTCAGTTAGGATTTCAAGCCATTATTAGTAGCCCTTCAGCAGGGGGAAACCAAAAGGACAAAGCCATCAACCACGCCCTGCGCCTCAGGCTCTCATCCTAGCTCTCACTAGAACGCAATAACGGAGCAGCCTGCAGTGGAGAGGACGACGCGGTAGTGGTGGTGCCCTGTGCGGCCACCAAGTCAAGTCGCCGGCCCCCATTCACCGGCGGAGTAGGCTGGCTCTGCATCAATGATGTGTTGCATTATTTTTTTCCCAATCCTTATTCGTCTATTTTATATTTTTACTCCTTGTCTAGAATATATACTATATATTTTTTTTGACCGGGAATAGCATTCACCTCAATATTGTGCACATAACTAAGATGTTATTTTGCTGAATCAAAATTTTATTTCATGGATTCTTTCATTTGTTTTCATTTCTACTAGATTGCCATATTATTCTCTTATAAACTGGAATGTCATTCTCCAAAACTTACAATAGTATTTTCATGTAAAAGGAATCTTGTTCCCTAGAACTTGGATAGTTTTCTCCCGGACTGATATATTGTTGTCCTGGACTCAGAATATTTTTTCTCCTAAACATGAATTATTAGTCTCCAAAATTTAGAATACTAAACTCAAATCACCCGCCTTCGAGCCTTCTGACACGTCAGACTGTAGCACTTGGGGAGGGGTAATTGAGATTTGGGCGCACGGTAAGACACGCATGCATGCTCCTCTACTGTCGCTTGGGAATTGGTTTCAACTGATGGGCTGAACTCATGGGGTGAAAAATACCTTGGTTTATTTCGGGGTGAGAAAAGAATGGATAGTTTGAGGTGGTTTGGTTTGGTTTGGTTTGGTTTGTATACTAGCGGAGTAATGGTGTCGATTGCGCCGGTTGTACGGTGTATTCTTGAAACGGTTTTTGGTTGGTTCATTTAGGATTTGAAGCCATTATTAGCACTTTAGAAGGGGCTAAACCAAAGGCTAAAGGCTGCTCTCTGGCTCTCAACAGGAACTTAATAGATGGGAGGTACCTAGTAGAAGGAACTTAAGTTTTGGATCGCTACTAAAATTTTGTGGGCCACGAACTAAATAGGAAAAATTGTGAAAGGCTCGGGTAGTCATTTCAGATTCATATCTATTCACACGTAGTGGAACAGCGGTGACCGAATCCTATCCTAACTTCCCTTTGTCTGACTTGTCTCTGACGTGCGTTTGTGGTCGCTGTCGGCGTTCTCCCTCGCCGCCGGTGTCCTTCCTCACATCTGCAGCCTCCGGGATCTGATCCTTATCTTGGATTCGATCCGCTTTCAGTTCCACTCCTGTATGCACCCTAATTCATGGGGCCATGGCGGCAAGACCGCCAATAGCGCGCTCAGCCCGTCGTCGTGGCGGGATCCAACTTTCTGCATGCCGCCAGCATGCATATATGACCTCCTTGCAGTGATGCAGGGCGCTTGCATTGCAAGTTTGCAACAGTACATTGTGGAGCGTGGGAGCTGGGCACCGCATGGTCTGCTGATATGATGGACAACGCTAGTTTGCATCACTGACGACGCAATGCAACGGAATTCAGGAAGACAATAAAGACATAAGTCAGGAGCTCTCAAACCATGCAAACGCAAAGGGTTATCCTACATGACTCAATTCTGTATATCTACACATCATACACTAAGATTTTTCAGAAATGGTTTTCATCACTGGACATCTCTTTGATACATGTAGATACTCATCAGTGAGTAAACATGGAAGAGAATTAGAGAATACAAATAATTCTAATGGATAATGGCTCCCAAATTCTACAAAATTTGGAATTCAGCAGTGATCATCTTCACTCTTCAGTAAGGTTCTTGAAAGTCTCCCCATCGTGCGAAGTTTTGTTCCATCCCGAAAGGATCTAACCAGTGCCATCTCATGTGAACATCTGCAACTCTGCTATATTTCATCTTACAATGTTAAGTTTGCCATTCAATTTTACCAACGATCGTAATCATACTCGTTGACAGGGTCCAAATGAACGTGCCCCCATTGTTGAGGGATAGCAAACAGCACGTAGCGTCAGGCGCTGCCGCCGTGATGACGAACACGAGCAGCGTACCAATGTTGCTCTCCGTATGGATCATGTCAGGTTGTGTATTCGTGGATGCAGGCAGCCGATGGTGGATCTCTCCACGGGACGGACGGACGACCATGAGTCCAGGACTTGCAGCAGACGAGCTGGATGGGGGTGCAGCGGCCGACGGCGGGCTACGGGCCGTGGGCCGCGGGCAGCAGGTGGGAGGCGGAGGCGGCTCGGCGATGGGGAGGAGTGCTGAGCGGACGTCGGTAGGCGGCGGATGAGCGCTCCGGCGCCACCGTCTGTTTTGTGCTACCACGGGGATTACTTACGATAATACCCTTAGTTACAATTAATTAATTAGTACGATTTAAAATCAACAGCTGACAAAATATATGTCAAGAGGAACCGCCGGTTCCTCCCGAGCATCGATGTTGTGTAGCAGAGCGCGTATGTCTGCAATCGCTGAGATGGCACATGCGAAAAGACGACACTGCCTCTGCATCGATGTTGTGCTGCATGCATTGATTTTTTACTAATGTCCTTTAATTTTTTTTTCTTTTTAATCATTTGAGTTTACTTGTTCTCTATTATTGCTACTCCGGAACAGAGTGTTTTTCTTTTCGACCTACTAGAAGATCGTTCTCCTATCTAGATTGTTATTCCCGTGAACTATAATTATTTTTATTTTTTATTTATTTCTCATCTTCTTCTTATCTTTATTTATTTATTTCAATTGATTTCTTTTACATTCCACTCCTTGAATAGAATATTATTTTTCTATAAAGCAAGAATACTGTAGTCTTGAAACTGAAATATTATTCCCCCGAATATTGTCCTAACTAGAATATTATTCACTCAACCATAATTTTATTTCTATTCATTACTTCGTTTATTTAACTTTTTACACCTTGTGTGGAATATTGTTCTATGGATCTAAAATATTATTTACTTGAATCTGGAATATTATTTTCCTACAAATGGAGTATTGTTGCTTTGAGCTTGAATATTTTTTCACATACAAGAATACTATTGTCCTAAATTTGGATTTTTATTTTTTCTAACTTGAAATATTACTAATTTCGTAATCTAGAACGTTTATTATTTCCATTGCTTTTTTCCGCTTCCTACAACTGAACCAGAATATTTATTCTCGTGATCTTGAATATTGTTCTTCTGTTCTTAGAATGTCATTCACGTGAACCGACGATTTTATTCTTCTCAATCAGAAATATTATTCTCCAACATAATATTATTTTTCCAAACATAGAATGTTTTTTATTGAAACTGGAATATTTTTTTGAGAGTACATGGAATATTGTTCTCCTAACTGGAACATGACCTTCACGAATCAAAATTTTATTTCCAGTTATTCTTAATATGTCTTGAACATAGAATATTGTTCCTAAATTTCAAATATTATTCTGCTAAACCGAGGCCCTGTTTGGATCCATATAGAAAATAACTATCTGCTAATAGTTACCTCTTTTAGATATAAAGGTGCAACTAATAAAATAGGTAATTGTTAGCTAGACTTCTAGATAATAACTATCTCATTTGTTGGACCAAATCAGATAGTAGCTAATAGTTATCTTAGTAGCATTTTTCATTAGTTATGCTTCCAAACACCCTCTAACTAAAAGTTAGCTAACAGTTAGCTAGCTAATATTAGATATGAGCTATTAGCAAGCTAAATCCAAACAGGGCCTTAGATATTAGGTGTGTGTTTGGTTGGTGCCATTTAAAAACCGAGCCCAAATTTGGCATTGTCAATTTTTTGTCACCAAGTTAGTGGCCATGGATTTGGCAAGCTTTGGCTACTAAAAGTGAGTTAAGGTGGCCAAAGGAGACGGGTGCCAACTGCCAAGCCAAAATTTGGCATCCAACTAAACGATGGGCAAAATGGGTACCTTAAATGGCCAAACTTTGACTTGGCTAGCTTGGGCACTATACTAAACGCACCCTAAAACTAACCACAATCGCAGAGAAGCACACAGGTGGCTGGCTATTGCTTGCGGCCAGGCTTCAGACCATTCAGACTGTAGTTGGCTGTACTGTGCAAGCTTAAGATGGTTGAGCTGGTTCAGTTCGAATTTGAAGCCATTAGTAGTGCTAACCAAAACCATTAGCCACGGCCTGTACGCCTCAAGCTCTCAGCGCAGCAGAAGGCAATAATGAAGCCGACACAAGAAGGCCCGCGGCCTGCAGTGGAGAGGACGACGACACGTGGTTGGAGGAGTCCTTGATATGTGCGGCCACCGAGTCGAGTCGTCGGCCCCCATTCACCGGCGAAGCAGAGTGCATGCGCATGGTAAATCTGCAATCGCTGACATGGCACATGGCCTGCATCAGTGACATGTCTGAAACGATGCCTGTTTCTGCATCGATGTTCAGTGACGCCATTGAATATTAACTCGGCAGTGTCCTCCTGTCCATTGGAGGTTGCTCTAGAGAGTGAATCGGCGAGGGTGAGCTCTACACCCAGCCAGCATGCAGTGTCCTCCAACTTGAAGCCTTGCCATCGCCGCCATCACAGCAGCAGTAGGACTACGAATCCACTACGCTCACAGCTGAACCAACCAAGCGAGGAAGCATGAGTGTGGTGACGGGGGCGCTGGGAAGCCTCGCCCCCAAGCTGCTGAAGCTGCTCTATGGTGAGTACAAGCTCCAGAAGGACGTTCGGAAGCAGGTGCAGTGGCTCCACAGCGAGCTGGAGAGCATCCAGCCTTCCTCCGCAAGGTCGCTGATGTGCCATGGGACCGGCTCGACGAGCAGGTGAAGGTGTGGGCGCGCGAGGTCAGGGAGGCATCTTACGACATGGAGGATGTCCTCGACACCTTCCTCGTGCGCGTCGATGGCGGAGAGCCTGCCGACCCGAGCAGGCTCAGACGCGCTATGAAGAACATGGGCAAGGTGTTCACCAAGGCCAAGGTTCGCCATGATATTGCGGGTGCCATCGACGATATCAAGAAGCATCTCGACGAGGTAGCTGAAAGGAGTCAGAAGTACAAACTCGATGAGATGATTATGTCCAAGTCAATTACATCAGCGTCCACTATTGATCCTCGCCTTACTGCTATGTACAAAGAGGTTTCCCAACTTATTGGCGTTGACAGTTCAAGGGACGAGCTCATCTCTATGCTGAATCTATCCCAACCGGATGATGATGCGCCTGACAAGAAAACTATCAAGAAGGTTTCTATTGTTGGTGTTGGGGGATTGGGCAAAACCACTCTTGCCAAAGCGGTGTATGACAAGCTTAAGTCGCAATACGATTGTGGGGCTTTTGTTTCAGTTGGTAGGGATCATGATTTGGTAAAAGTTTTCAAGGACATTCTCTTTGATCATGACAAAAATAGGTCTGAGAACATTCATAACACTGGAAGAGGTGTTGATCTCCTCATTCGTGAAGTTCGAGAATTCCTAGAGAACAAGAGGTACACATCAGAAATCCAATTGTAAATTGTAATTATCAAGTGCCTTTTAAGATGATGTTGCTCCACAATTTGCTGTAGGTTATACTAAAAATATTATCTCCGCATCATCTATGCATGCCAGACTGCTTCTTGAGATTGATGTTTTTCTACTCCACACATATAAAAAAAATGCATAATTCAGTGATATCCGACATAAATGCTTTTAGCTCACCTGTTAGAAAAATGCATAATTCAGTGGTGTCCGACATAAAAGGGCATGCATAGTATCATAATTTAATTAACGGCTTAAACATTTCTAATTCATAATTGAACTTAGTTTTTTTTTATATTTTTCTTCTGCAACTATAAACTTTCAACTTATAGTATAAAAATAAGGACCCTAAAAAATATAGTATAAAATAATCTCATAAGACGATAACTTCTTATTGCATATGCATAAAAGTTGAGGTATATTTTAAGAAAAAGAACAGTTTTAGGGTCACCTTGTGTTGCAACATGCACTTAGATGTGTAACTTCTGTATACAACTTGGCCTTAAATTTGTAGTTTTTTTTAAAAAAATAGGACCTTTAATGTGTAGTTTTCAATTTTTCATGCATATGCCCAAAGTTGTAGGTTACTTCTTGAAGTTACTCTTCTATAATTACTTTCAACTACGATTCCTAGTCAGAAAGATTCTCAAACATCAATGCACTGTATATTTGTACTGACATAATAGTCATGAGTTTGATATGTAATGGCAACTACTTTTAATGTTAGAATTTTTTTAATTATGTGGAAGCTCCAACATTATTACTAACCAATGGTTCTTCCACTTTGGTGTGGATAGGTATTTTATTGTTATTGATGATGTATGGGAGGTAAGCACCTGGGAAGCAATCGAACTATCACTTGTTGAGAATAATCATGGAAGTAAAGTAATCACAACTACTCGTAAGTTTAATGTTGCTGAAGAAGCTGGTGAGGTTTACAAGCTAAAGCCACTTTCCTTTGATGACTCCACGAAGTTGTTCTATACAAGGATATTTGGTGCAGACAGAAAGTACCTTGATAACCAACCAAATGATGTTTCCGATAAAATTATAAAGAAATGTGCTGGTATACCATTAGCAATCATCACAATGACTAGTTTGTTGGCTGGTAAACTAGAGTACGAATGGTCAATGGTCTACAACTCTATTGGTTTTCATACTACAGATAACAGGGAAGCTGAAGATACTATGACAATACTTTCATTTAGCTACTATGATCTGCCTCCACATTTGAGGACATGCTTACTATATCTAAGTACATATCCAGAAGATTATTTGATCCGAAAGGATTCTTTGATATGGAAGTGGATAGCTGAAGGATTTATTGATGGGAAACAGGGAACAAGATTATTTGAGCTTGGAGAAAGATACTTCAATGATCTCATTAATAGAAGCTTGATCCAGCCAGTGGAGAATGAGCGGAATGGCAGAGTAGAAAGCTGTCATGTTCATGATATGGTTCTTGATCTGATGCGTAAGCTTTCATATGAAGAAAACTTTATTACTATATTAGGTGACAATGTTGAAGGAGCACCTGCACCAAGCAATGTCCGTCGGTTAGCCAACCAAAACAGAATAGCCGAGCACATTAATTCTGAAACAATGGTTACGGGGATGCCAAAAGTGAGGTCATATAGTGCATTCAAGTGTTTTATTGATAGCCGGGACCAGTTTTTGAGATTTAAACTTTTGCGCGTGCTATACGTAGTACACTGCAGCTTTGAGAAAGGTTGCCACCTTGAGCATCTTGGTGATTTACTTCACTTGAGGTACCTTAGGATAAAATTCAACGATAGTTCCCCTGAGCTCCCCATACAACTAGGGAATCTAAAGTTACTGCAAACACTCGATGTGGAGGGAACATTGCCAGCAAGCATTGTGCACCTAATAGAGTTGCTCCGGCTATGTACTCACAAAAAGGTACCGGATGGCACTAGGAAGCTGGTTTCCCTGGAGGAGCTAAGAATACAATATGGTTGCAGTGATAAGCCCAAGAGATTTTTCAAAGAGCTTGCCAGCCTGCGAGAACTGAGGGTGCTTGAATTTGCCACTGATCATGGGGCGGACGAGAGCATGCAGTGAGATTTCGTGGAGTGTCTAAGCAATCTGCAAAAGATCCAGCATATTGGTGTGGGCGGTTCACCTTGGTTTGCAGATACAGCCATGTGGGAAGCAGCAGGGTTTGTGCTCCCACTACCTCTCCATTATTTGATATGGCATGCAATTAGATTTTCCAAATTGCGGTCATGCATTAATCCCACACATCTTCCCAACCTGGCCCACTTGGCACTGTTTGTGATTACTATGGATGAGCAGGATCTGAAACTCCTTGCTAGGTTACCGGCACTCAGCCATCTCAACCTGACAACAGAGTCCACGGTAACAGCAAGCAATATTAACTCCCATGATCGCAGCTTCTTCCAGAAGTTGAGGCACTTTGCAACCAATGCAATGGTCCAGTTTGAGCAGCCTGATGAGGAGGACACTAGAGTTTCATTGCATATGTGGAATGGAGAGGATGCTATGCCCTTTGCCTCTAGAAAAAGCAACAAATCCAGAAATGTTGTACCCTCTGGCGTGATGCCAAATCTTGAAGTGCTTGAACTTGATGTCCCTTTGCGTGCCCTAAAAGATAACTATAGTGACTACTGTGGGAATATTGGCTTGGAGTACCTTCCTTCCATTTGGGAACTCAGAGGTTGGATCGTCTGTGAAGACGTGCCTGTTGCAGAGAGCGATGCTGCGTTCGCTGCACTGAGAGAAGCATGCAACGTCCATCCCAACCATCCCACGTTTTGTATGGATTAGATCATCATATTAATCAGGTACGACGAGAATTTTGTAGTTCCGATCAAATTAATATCTTCTTATTTGTTTCTGTCTTGTTCAATTTTGGCATATATTATATATATAGCACTTGCTTGTCTCTACTCAATTAATTATTGGCTTTATCCGAATTTTCAGGGGGGGACAATAATAATGTGTCTTGAGAAGATACGAATTTGGATCTGCATGCGTACAGTGTATGTAAGTACTCTTTCCAACCTGTTCTGTCCTATCCTAGCTGATGGTGTCACTGTTGCTGCTCGTGCGTGTCAGCCATTCGAGTGCTTCTGAGTTTTTGGGAGTTCACGGATTTTGAAATTGTGTTAACCTAATTTCCGTCAAACAAATAACTTTATGATTCTCGAGTCCTGACTACATAGAATGGATGGTCGCATTGTCAATAAGCAAATACATGCATGCCGACATCTATGTTGATGTATGAATTACATTTTTGTTTCGGAAGGGCGAGTTCTAATAAGCAAATAACTTCATGCCGACATGTATGCATCAAACTACCAAACGAATTTAAGCAGATACCGATTTTTCATTGAATCCGTTATACAGTGGACGTAGGTATAGTCACTGGACCGTTCCTAGTGCCTGCACCAACTCTGTTTCTGGCCACCAGTGGATACTCTGTTTTCCACTGTCCACCTGTGAGTCTGTGACACGTCCTTCTATGATTATTTACTACGAAGTAAGCACTTTTGTCATCGGATAATTTATGGTTGTAAGCGTAATATGTACAGAAGATTAAGTAGAATTATTGACGAACTTGCTTTCTCTGGTAGATTAGTTTTCCTGATCCAAGTTTCTGCTTGAACCGTAATATGTACAGAAGATTAGCTCAAATGGTGTACAGAAGATTAGCTCAAATGGTGTCGGCTTCAATGCTTCAGAGTCCACGTCAGCCCATCGACACAAGTTCACTCGACTGCGAGCCAGACTGTGCTGGCTCTTATGTTCACCCGATCTATTTTCTATTCGAATAAATAAAATATGCTGTATCAAAGTTTCGGTGTACTCCGCTTCTATTAGAACCTGCTGCAACATTTTTCTCCATGCTGAACTGCTGGCTTGTATTATTAGTTTAGTTTCTCGACCTTTTCTGTGGTTCGTACATTCTAATAAGCTTGGAACGTATTTAAGTTGTGCGAAAGTTTGAGGAGGCTTTATGTGTTGCTTGCATTGCCTTTTTGCATTGCCGCTGTCTGGTTTCCACACGACGCATTTGCCCGCTGGGATGCTGGATCCAGGCATGGAACAAGAGAACAGAGAATGCAGCCATGGAGCCGGCAGACCCGGTAGAGGTCGAAAACATATCATTTTTATTTAGAAATGGTAATTTCTCCGATATGGCTTAAACCTCTAGACACGGTGGTTAAAAATAGTGCAACCGCATGGGAGAAAATAGAGTGGACTAAAATTTTTAGACACAAGGTCTCTAGAGTCTAGACACGGCACGATCCAAAAAATTTAGCTGCGTCATGGCCATGGCTAACAGCCGTTCCGTTGGTATGGGTCTTCATCCCGTGGGCCTACAGTTCAGTAACAAATGTGATTGCTGGCCCATGGGCCACGTCGGCCCCCGTGGCGAGAACAGCAGGCCAATGGGTATGTGCGATATATACTCTTGCTAAAAAAGAAGAAGATGTGCGATATATACTCAGTATATAATAAGTAGGATGCTGCTGATCATCTACAGATCTTCTATATAACACACAAGAGAAATTGAAGTGGACTGGAGAAGGAGTCAAGCTGAAAACTTACAAGTACTGTTTTTCCGGGTGTCAGAGTGGTTATTCCTAAGTCACAACTTAAATAAAAAGGGTTTGCTCAGTCTCAATTACAGAACTGGAAACACAGAGCATATCCCATACATAGTTTAAACTGGATGGAAATAGTACTTTGTGGGAAAATATGTGGTGGAAAGCAAAAATACACAAAGTCCAAACCGGTGTGAGCAAAAGACAACCCATCATCTACGTACATTCATTTGGAGTCTCATCAAATTGGGGGTGGCTTCTTGGTGTCGTTGATTTGAGCCATTTTAACATCAAAGGTTGTTAAGCCTCAAATTACGGTAACCACGGCTCTGATGCCACTTAAAAAGTCCTAATGGCTAGAGGAGGGGTGAATAGGCTATTAAAAATTTCTACAACAATACTTACCAAACCGGTTAGACAAATATGTGGCGAAGCGAGTGTTGTGCTAGCCTACTAAAAATACAAGCCACCTACCACAATTCTAGTTTCTATAGTCTCTATCCACACAATGGCTATGTCACTGCACTAAGTTAGTGTGCTTTTAAAGGCTAACTAAAGAACCACACTAACCAAACTAATAAGCTCTCACGACTAGTTACACTAAAGAGCTTGGCAACTAGTTTACGGTAATGTAATGAAAGAGAGCAAGATGGTTATACCGCCGAGTCAAGGAATGAACCAATCAATCACAAGAATAAATACCAATGAAGACCAATCACCTCGGAATCAAATGATGACACAATGATTTTTACCAAGGTTCACTTGCTTGCCGGCAAGCTAGTCCTTATTGTGGCGATTCACTCACTTGGAGGTTCACGAGCTAATTGGCATCACACGCTAAACCCTCAATAGGGTGCCGCACAACCAACACAAGATGAGGATCACACAAGCCACAAGCAATTTACTAGAGTACCTTTTGGCTCTCCGCCGGGGAAAGGTCAAGAACCCCTTACAATCACCTTGATTGGAGCCGAAGACAATCACCAACCCCCGATCGATGATCCTCGCTGCTCCAAGCTATCTAGGTGGCGGCAACCACCAAGAGTAACAAGCGAATCCCACAGCGAAACACGAACACCAAGTGCCTCTAGATGTAAACACTCAAGCAATGCACTTGGATTCACTCCTAATCTTAGAAAGATGATGAATCAATGATGGAGATAAGTGGGAGGACTTTGGCTAAGCTCACAAGGTTGCTATGTCAATACAAATGGTCAAGAGAGTGAGCTTGAGCTGGCAATGGGGCTTAAATAGAGAGCCCCCACGAATAGAGTCGTTGGCTCTCTATTCCTTGAAAGGTCGGGGCGACCGGATGCACCGATCGGATTGACCGGATGCAGGACCCCAGTGTCTGGTCCTTAGATATTCGCCACGTGTCCCCGACTTCAAATGTTCATCGCGCGATCTCAACGGTCATCAGTGCACTTAAGTTGTGACCGGACGCGTAGCTCAAAGTGCCCGGACGCTCCATCACTGGAGTCCGGTCGTTTCCAGTAAGGTTCCAGAGATGGTTTTTCACGACCGGATGCGTCCAGTGGCTCATGACCAGACCCAGGCCAGCGTCCGGTCAACTCAGCCTCTCTCTGTTGCTTGCGTCAGCGTAAGTCACTAGGTGACCGGACGCACAGCCCCCTGCGCATCCGTTCCCTCTCTCTCTTCAGCATCCGGTCAAGGGACCGAGGGCGGCCTTCACTGCGCGCCACTGACCGAACGCGGGGTTAGAGTCCGGTCACTGCCCAAGGCAGAGTCCGATCAATACAAAACTTCTCCTTTTGACCCCGAACTTCACCACCTTTGATCAAATGTGCCAACCACCAAGTGTATCACCTTGTGCACATGTGTTAGCATATTTTCACAAATGTTTTTAAGGGTGTTAACACTCCACTAGATCCTAAATGCATGTGCAATGAGTTAGAGCATCTAGTGGCACTTTGATAACCACATTTTGATATGAGTTTCACCCCTCTTAATAGTATGGCTATCGATCCTAAATGTGATCACACTCGCTAAGTCTCTCGATCACTTAAACTAAAAAGCTCCTATCAATTTTACCTTTGTCTTGAGCCTTTTGCTTCTCTTTCTTCTTTTCCAAGTCCAAGCACTTGATCATCACCTTGGCATTACCATCATCATGTCATGATCTTCATTTGCTTCACCACTTGGAGTAGTGCTACCTATCTCATAATCACTTTGATAAACTAGGTTAGCACTTAGGGTTTCATCAATTCATCAAAACCAAACTAGAGCTTTCACCGACAATGTTGTCCAGCCTGCAGAACCGCACCTCCTCGCCATCGTGGAAGGCATCCACGAACTAGCTGATGTCGCTTGGAGGGGAGGTGAACTCGATCGGTGGTCCTTGGCCTCCCTATTCTACCGAAGTGGTCGGCATCGCAGCTGGACCGCTCAGCACCACTGTCGGAGTGGTTGGCATCGCTGCTGGACCGCTCAGCAACACTACCGGAGTGGTCGGATCCACTGCTGGAGCGATCGGCGCCACTCCTGGAGTGGTCGGCTCCACTGTTGGAGCGCTCGGCACTGCTGCTGAAGTGCTTGGCACCCCCTCTGGAGTGGTCGGCATTGCTGCTGGACCGCTCGGCGCCACTCCAGGGGTGGTCGGCACCTCTTCTCCAGCGTCTCCACCACCATGGATGACTAAGTGTTTGACAACGAAGGTGCTGCTCAAGCTGCCAGCTTCCCCCATGCCTGGACCCTCCTAGTCCTAGGCCGCTATCTCATCGAACACCACATCCGTATAGATCACCACCTTGCCTCTCTTGGGATCATAAAGCCGATAGGCCTTGCTGCCCTCCTCGTAGCCCAGGAGCACCATCGGCATGCTCTTGTCTTCCAGCTTGCCGAGGTGGGGCTTGGTGTTCTTCACATGGCCGATGCAGCCAAATGTCCAGAGAAAGCACACATTCGGGTTGCGTCCATGCCAAGCCTCGAACGGCGTCTTGCCCTTCAGAGCCTTGGTGGGCACGCGGTTGAGGATAAACACCGTTGTGGTCACCGCCTCTCCCCAAAACTTCGTCGGCATCTTCTTGGCCTTCATCATGGATCGAGCCATGCCGACCACTGTCTGGTTCCGCCACTCCACCACGCTATTCTGCTACGGCGAGTATGGCGCGGTGTGGTGTCGCACCAAGCCCTGATCCGCGCAGTACACAGCGAACTCCACCGAAGTGAATTCACCGCCGCAATCAATCCACAGCA